ATTGGGTGCCGTCACAAAGTCAGCTGCCCGTCACGAAGTCGGTGAATAAGACAAATGAACTGGTATCTCGAAGTATATATATGTGGTTGTCTCTTCCTCTCCTCTCTCTATCTCGTCTCATTCTCTACTCCAAGCGCCTCGCTAATGAGCTAAATCAGACCCCTGCCAGTGTCCTAACGACAACCTGAATATCGCAAATACATAGAACAATTCACACTACCCAAATGTGATCCTTTTACCGACAACTAGTGTTGTCACTGGAGGATTTTGTGGAAACCTAGGGTCTTTAAGAGGAGTTGAGCGATATCAAACTGTGAACTTGTGCCATTTGGATATGGCAAAGATATCCTTGCCTGTGCAAGCTTTTTCAATCTTTTCTTTGTAAAATGTATTTTTCGCTATAATGATAGTTTTACGATAAGTTTCCTCGCCTCCTTAAGCTCTTCGACGGTTAGTGGAGTCTCTATTACTGGTTTGAAGATCTGGCGGGCGGATTGCAGTATTTTTTCCACCAGGGGCTACCTTTACCATGCCCTAAAGAGCAGCAAACCGTAGCAGCGTATGCTAGCCAGATGGCCTCTATTATATCCTCAGCAAAACTATCTATGTCTTTTTCGGTGGGAGGAGACGGAAGTGTACAGAGTTCGCCTAACGAGATGGAGGGTAGGCGACGAAATAATGCAGGATCAAGCATGTCGACTCTGGGCCTCTCAAGGGGTGCCACATATCCTATCCAATCGACCTTGATAAGGGGAGTTGCGTGGTCTAAAATTGTGGCTAGGTGTGTGCCGACGGTGCTTTTAGCGCTGTGAGCTAAAGGGCCGGACCCAAAGACTAAGTCAAGTACATTTCCACTATTATGCGTTGCCACGTCTAGAGAGAGTAGAACGAGGTTTTTTTATCTGCTCATTCCAAAAATGTTTCAGCATCCGCGTAGGTGCTACTTGGCCAGGAAAGCTGCTACCTTACGTGGTGAAGGTTAAAGTCTCCCATCGTAATGGAGCTACTTTTAGATAGAATAGATAGTATGAGAAGATGGTAAGGAGCGCTGCCACTAGTGGAGCCTGGTGGTGCGTTATAAATGTTGATAATCTGCAAGGCTTTCCCTGGAGGTGATCTTAGATGGAGAGTGAGTATGTGGCCGTAAAATTTATGATATATTTAGTCTGCACGTAGTCCAACCCCTTTTCGTCTGTAGGAGATCACTCTAGGCCTGGTATTTGACCAGTCATCAATGAGAGAGAAAGCCTCACATGATAGGTGGTGTTTTGTAATCCATCGAGCACGATCTTGAAGAAGGTAAGGTTCTTGAATCAGGATTATATCTGCTAATACAATAAAAGCTTCGTTGAGGGCGATCCCATACGAGAGAGCACCTCTGACAACCTTCAAGGAAATGACTGTTAGTGGCTTGGACGAAGCTCTGTGGGATTAAAGTTGTCTATTATGCTTCCATTTTTTCATTGCTCTGATCCTCTTAGACGTAAAGTGTATCGAAGCGATTCTTAGTTTTAATTTTTTGTATAATTGGTGCGGTGCTTGGTCCAGCAGGGGCGAGATCCTGAGATGATGACGGCTTGCCTCTACATGCTGCTAAGGTAGCTTGGGGAAGGGGCTTTGCGCAGCCTGCTTCTGCTTGTTTGCGCCAGCGGGCATCCGCGTTGATTTTTCAGACCGCACTCACCTGAGCTTTGGTCAAAGGTATTGAAAGGCTATACTGAGCTGGAATGACGTACCGTTAAGATGAAGGTATGGAAGGAGGTAGCTATGGCTTTAAGAGAAGTAAAGTTCGTGAGTTATACTCTTAGGACTTGGATCAATGGACGAACTTGAGGATATTCCCTAGTATTTTCAAGTGTGTGAATAATATGGAGATTGTTTTAATTTCCTATTGTATGAGTTGCTTAAGTTATCTACGTGACAGGACCTTCTTCTATATGCATGAACAAGGGGGTTCTGCACACTAGTGGATGTTCCAACATCTGTCCTTGTCTAACCGAGAAAGGAAGGATGTGAGGGATCCTAGCGCCAATAGATACCATTAGGAATCTATTGGGAAATACCATGTCATACAAATGAGTGATGATTTAGGTCAATCATATCCCATGGCGCATGTGCACATTATTCTAATGTGAACAGTTTATTGTAATGCAGTCATGTTACTCCCATAATTACAACAAAATATGGGCCCGTAGCTTTAGGCTTGAGCTGACACTTGGTATCGTCTGCAGCATGAGAACTGTGGCAGTGAACACACCTAGGTGGACAGGTGTGCTCGCCTGTGGCTGCGCAATGGTTACCATGCTTGTTTTCAGTATGCGTGCTGGAACCGTATAGGCGTCACTGGAGGAAGGAAGTACAGGTGCGGGTATTATGCCACAGCCAGCACCTATCGCAGTGAGCCACAATGTAGAGTCGAGGGAGGGTTTTTATGATCGTGCGGCAACTAAATATGAAGAAAACACGAAGAAGGCGTTGGTACGATTCCGGGAAGCGAGCAATTCATGTCGTTGAGGAGGACTTTGGGTTCTCATTATTACACGATGCCAGAATGGCTACCGGGGCTGTTCCTGCGGCAGTTGAAATTGCTTCATGGATAGCAGCAACTGTGACTGTTTGAAGACAGTATTTAAGTTCATCATTGATGGTTCCAAATGTTCGTGGGTCATTATTAATCCTGTGTGAAGTCCACGGTGAAGCGCTTTCGACCGCGACATTATCAAATTTACCAACATTTGAGATTTCTTCCCTAAGTTTAGAGATTTCTCCGTCTTTGAGACAAAGGGCCAAGCCAGTCTCTGTAAACTGCACATTGACAAGAACTTGTCTTTCGTTTCCTAGCTTACCTTTCAGGTGAGATTGGATAGTATACGCTGAGAGATCCCTGAGCTTATCTCCATCGGGTATGCGGACAAATAGACGATTATCAGTGCGATGTCACGAATGAGTTTTTGAATTGAGACGTACTGGATCTCTACTGTTATGTGAATTGTCGGTGCGGTTGTTTTAGAGTCTACGAGCCACATTGGCTTGCGATAGGGTCTCTAGTGATTGCGGAGCTTGGCAAGGCTCAGGAATTGAATGAACTTTAGATACCCGTTAATGTAGGCATCAAAGTGACGGGTAGCGACTGCAGCTAGATCTTAGCAGAAGTTTTTGAGGGCCAATAGTTGGTTGGCAGGGAGTGCGTTACGACTAGGTGCAGCCCAATGATTGTTCAAGTGCGATGCGATACTACCGAATAATGCATCAACTTCTTTCGCTCGAATTTCCGTAGCTGCAACGCTTCTCCTCAGTGCCACACTAAGGGCCAGATAAGTTTTGCGCGTCGAACGGGTTGTCTGCAGGTTAGTCTGGAAGCTCGTCATAGTGTAGAGCGCTGCCATGGTCGTACAGTGTTTGACTTGGGCCAGGGTCGTCGAAGTCTTGAATGGAATGGTAGGAGGGGTGTGGAAAGGCGTTAAGCCTGTAGCTTCCACATTGGCAGACACGCCGGTTGTATCACGAGGTTTTCTTTTATGCGCGACTTGGCAATGCTGGATATCTTCTGCATAGGCTTTAAAGTGTTGTGAGCCGGAAGAGTAATGTTTGTGAGGAGGGGAATTTTAACTGGAGCCAGAGTTAATATGACAACAAATGTATATAATTAGATCCAAATTGAGAACTGTTTTGTGTGTGCGTGACTTTTTCATTACGTAGAAAAGGTGTAGTATTGTTTTGTTTTGTTCATTTACGTGCTAGGTATAGTGATTCCCATTGCACTCCTACTGGAGCTTAAGCACGGGTGGGGCCGGGCCGGATCAGGTTAACTACCGTAAAGTACAAGTGCCTCGTCCCACCTAAATGACCGGACTACCTCAGACATCACCCATGTGTTGGATCATGTCAAGCCCAACCATCCAGAAAACCCTCTTTTGACGCGCCGAAGCGCATATTCCTCCTCAGCCTCGGCCACCACGCGCCCGAGCCCTTGACATCTTCGCGATCTGTGACATTTTCCTTCGATTCAGTCCCAGCTTTGGCCCATCTCATCCAGGGGTCGTATTCTTCATTGGAGGCCTCATCCAGTCGCCCACCAAGGCCTCCTTAGTTTGTGTTCCATTTTGGTTCCTTCATGTAGCATCCCTCTATCCTTCAGCCGATATCGTCGTCCCAGAAACTTTGCAGAATTTCCACCCCTCCGGCCTTGCCCCGTCGCTGTCGTACCCCTATCCGTGGAGGTCGAAACCGCGACTGAGATCTCGGGACCGAGGCACCGGTTCCCCAGCCTTTGTCGAACGCTCTAGTTGGTGTGCCGGCGAAATGTCATACGTATTTCGTCGATGGCGATTCGTCGCAGGTCGAGTTGTTGGTGCCCTTGGCCGAGGTGAGGACGCATCTAAGGCCGGTAATTCGACCGTACCTTCACAGCGACTGGCAGTTGCGTAGGGTCGGATATCCTCTTGCTTCTTTGTTGGCGATTTGACTTTTGGAGGTGTAGGATTGCTTTGGTAGGTGGTGAGATGATTATGGAGAGGGCCGCGAGATGATTTCGGCTGAGAATAAATTTTCAGGGAAAAGAAAAGAAGATCTTGAAGGTGTCGGTTGTTGTGATACGAACATCAGACAGGTCATAGGCTGTCTGCGGTTCGTATCTGGGGTGTAGATGGTCGATTTCGTTGAGTTCTGCAGTCGTGAAGTCTCTGCAAGTCGGATTATCGACCAAAAATGAGCCAACACCACTCCTCCCGATCGCCAACTCGACTAAAACTCTCAAAATTCACCCTTTATCGTGATTGGATCTCGGCTCTGGGAGAATATTTCACTCTCAGGTCCGTAGAGGACACCACTGGAAAAAGTGTAGTAGATTCAGGCGCTGAAACTTGTTGTTTTCACGTGATCTAAGAGAGCGGTGAAAAAGTGTAGACAGCCCATGTGCCTCTTGGCAGTCATAACGAATGTAATAAGATCTGAGGTTCAATTCCGTACAACCTCCAAAATAACCATATCACTTCGGAATGATGCTCGACAACGCAAACCCAACCGTAATCGATGCATCTGAGCTCGATTCCCTTCGACAAAAGCGCAGGAAAAAGGGCGAAACCGGAAGAAAAGATGCAGTCATTGATGAACTTTTTGACCAGACCCATTACAAGATGGATCCTTTTTATATGTCTGAAGTACAAGATGTTGAATCGGACTCTGACGATTCGAGTATTGAGCCAATCGATGAACAAGAAATATACGGTGAATCTTCACAAAGTCCACGCCGAGACAAGTAACAGGAGGGAGATATATTGAAGATTGGCACATTAAAATTTATCTTGGCTACCACTGACCATATCGCAGAACTTATAGCTCCTATTTCCGATCCAGAACACCCTCTATCGCTGGAGTCCTTGGGGGTCGTCAAGCCAGAAGACGTCCATTTAAGTAAATATCCAGATCAAACGGGTCCTATATTGCTATTTCACGTACTGGTAGAGCTCACGCCAACTGTTACCCATTGCTCCCTTGCTACAGTGATAGGATTAGGAGTACGCGTGCGGCTAGAGCAAGCTCTTCCTCCATGCTATCGGATTGAAGTTCGGATCAAAAAAGGCACTCACAGTCAAGCGGACGAAGTCAACAAGCAATTATCTGACAAGGAAAGAGTTGCCGCCGCATTGGAAAATGAAAATCTTTTAGGAATCCTTAAAAAGATGATGAACCCATGCCTTGACATACAAATTTGACTACATCTTATAACCGTTTATCTTCAATGAAAAATTTCTTTGAATTGAAAGTCCAGTATAATATTTCAGTGATTAACCATATCACTCGAGTATTCAACTCGGGCGTAGCCCGTACTTACATTTATTGTACCAAAGAGTTATGAGATATCAAAACTGCTAAAACTTAGACCTACCTCGAAACGTCGATATAGTCTATCTCCAGCTTAAAATATTATTAGTAAAGAGATTAGCCGATTAGTCTTGATTTTAAATCCGAATAAGATTATATTTTTTTATGGTCATGCCCCATGTGTTTACACGCCAAACCTTAATCAAATACTTGTTAATGTAAGCTCTGATTAATCAAAAGATTGTCATGAAGAATAAATACTTGGCCGCTTCAGGTAACAATTTGATTGAAGTACTAGTCTAGTGGACCGTTGTATAGCCTAAGAATGAAAACTACGTGAAGGACATTATTTCAAAATTTTAATTACATGGGTATCATTCACCGGTAAATAAACCTAATATTTTTGAATCAGAAATTTCTTCCGCTTTTGACACATTTTAAAAAACAACAAATCTCCTAAATGCCGTATCTTCGGTGAATTTAAGTTTTATTCTCCCAGAGTTAATAGTGCCAAGGGTCCTGCGGCTGAAGATGCAACACTGATCAGGGTGTGACATGAGCGGCTTACTGTAAAGTCATGCAACAGTCTGAGACAAGTCCAAGGTACCTTTAGCAGCGGCACTAAGTATCTGCTTCTAATTAACCTGTTTTATGAGTGATTCCACTAGTGCTGAACACGTCTAATACTACATCTTTCCCAATAATGATCAGAATGAAGGCTAAAACGAACGTTTCTGTGTCTTAGAAAGCCTCGGTGCATGAAATTTGAAGTAGAAAGGCAGTAAAAAGAGTTGTATTTAAACGAAAAAGAAAATTGTAATTAAATGAGTGGACAAAGAACAGGAGTGAAATGTAAAATATTAGGTAAATATACGAATATATGGCTCACCATGAAATTATGTATTCCTAGAGGATATTTTGACGCTTATAATATTTCTCCTTCTCCACACTGAGAGGGATACAGGTTCTGATGATTATTTTGCTTCTGAAAGTTCAAAAAAGGGCGGGTCAATCGAGTTAATGTATGGTCTTTTAGTGCCTTGTGAAGATAGCTATTGTCATTTCTTGACTTAACGGTCTCTTTGTTGTGAAGCAGAATAGCACAACATTTCATCTTTCGTTGCCGATTTATGCGGTTCACCTTCTACATACGCACCAGCTGATTGTTATCTATCCGTCAAGAAGACCGCTTTCTTTAAGACTGCTAAAAAGCTCAGGTTCCAAAAATTTGGCAACACTGACATCCTCGCTAAGACCCTTGCGCCGCCGTGTCTTGAGCACAAAGTCGCGGGCTGTAGCCTGGGCACTAGCTGGTTCGAGGGGGCGTAGGATAACATCTTTGTCTAGCGGATCACCTGGAACGATGCTCCAACGATCAAAAACTAGACTAACAGTGGCTTGACCTTGAGTATGAATACGTAGATCTGTTTCGAAACCAAATGAGTCTATGACGGGGATCAGTCCATTTACCCGGTACAAAGGTGTACCAGCAATTGGACCGTCTGATAAAACATGTCCCCGACGCCGAGCAAGGACTGTATAAAGAGATGTTACCGAGTCTGCTGGACCGTTCATAGAGCATGAGTACATAGGTTCTACAAGTCGTGGAGAGGCCATAAGAAATGACGAATAACAAGCTCTTCGGGCTGAGGGAATTATCTGACCGCCACCTCGAAATATTGGCTCTGGAGCAAGGGTTACGTCCATAATCTTGAACTTGGTGTTACGTATTGCTACAAGTCTTGTTAGTCATCATTCTGTGTTCTATTTTAATTAAAAACGACGAAATGCAAATAATCACAGCAAGTCAAGAGTCACAATTAATTTCTTTATCGAAGCTCTGACCAGAGTACTTACGTTCTTCGCACAAGGGGCCTTCTCGAGTTGCCCAGCTGAAGCCCTGGCGTATTGTGTCTCTCACACTTGTTAGGAGCTTTTTATCGACCTGTCGTTGTAAAAATTAGCAACAGTGGCGACTGAAAAGAGTACTGCCTTTCGTTAATTGGGTCGGAAACATACCTCTGACGGCAATGTATCGTCTTGCAAGATATTAGGGCCAAAATCATCGGGCCCAAATGCCCAGATACTTCGGGAAGCTAATAGATCCCAGCCATAATTTTCTTCGAAAAATTTTCCAATAACGCGTGCAGAGCTCTTGATACTTACTTTCCCGCTCTCAATATCTTCAACAATTCCTTCGTCTAGAGGCTCCGCCACCATTGTTATCTTGTTCTTCTTATTCGGGGTTTGGGCGTAACACTTAATAGCCGAGGTTTCCACAATTGTCTCACAGAATCTTGTTACTGGATCAGAAACTTTAATTTCCATCTCTGCATATAGCTTCCGAAGATCATGGAGTACGCAGTCCATATAAAGTTCACCTGTTCCAAGGATAACATGTTCACCTGATTCTTCAACTTTAGTTGTGATCAATGGATAGCTTTTGTTAATTTTCCTTAGACCGTCCAGCATCTTGGGAAGTTCAGATGGATTAATTGGCTCCACAGCAACTTTAAAGACAGATTCAGTGAAGTGAGAAATTGGCTTAAAAACGTAGACCTCTTCATCATCTGGCAGGGTATGGGGGACAATTGTCGCTGATTTTACAATACTATTATCAACCCCACTAATCAAGGCCCAGTTTCCAGCGGGTACTCCATCAGTGGGAATATTGTACCGAGTTTCCGCAATCCAGACATTAGAGACAATAGCCATTGTCATATCTTCTTGATCTTCAAATGAGTAGCCTTCGCCCAGTACACGTACTTGCATACCTGGCCTCACCGTTCCGCTCAAGATTCTTCCAAAAGAATGAAAAGTTTCTGCGTCGCTTGTGTTCAGAAGTTTCGAAACCTGAATTACTAAAGGTCCATCTTGGTTGCATGAAATCATGGATCTAGCAATGTTTGAATCCAATGGCCCTGTATAGTATCGTTCTACTTTACTTCGAGCTGCAGCTAAGGGGGACGGAATATGATCGACAACCATGGTAACAAATCCATTAGATGGACCAAAAAATTTCCCACAAATCAATTTAAGCAAAACCTTTGCATCAGTCTTGTACTGAGACGGCTTAAGCGTTATACCCAAAGAGGCCAACATAACCTTTAAGTCTTCAGGGCTCTCACTAATCGTGTGAGAGTAAAGTTTGTATATTGGTTCTAAGACAAAGTGCACAAATGAGCGCCGGGCTTTCTCTTCGATAGCTTTTCTGGTGAATGAGCGTTTCTGAGGGTTGAAGAATATATCGCCCCAAAGGCGCCTTGCAAATTCTTGAGAATTTATTCCTGGAGAAGAGTTACACTTTGAAGGGTAGCTGTCTGAGTACATTTTGGCAAATGATTGCAACGTGAAGCACCACCCCATACCGCTGCACGCAAACATAACATTTCCCTTCTCAGGGCTGAGTCTTAGTTTTTCGCCTTGTCCAGGTAAAACGTTTTCGATTATTGTATTCACCTCTTCGACAACATGCTTTAACTTAAAATATGCATCATTGGGAGGTAATTTTAGTTCAAGAATCAATCGGTCCATCTTGTTGATGACTAGCGTAAGAGATAATTCTTCGAGTAGGGCATGTTTTATGATTTGCTCGGTGTTAACCTGAACCCCTTCAACGACATCAACGACTAGCACAACTCCATCTACAAGACGTAGCGAAGATGCAACTTCATCAACAAAATTAACATGGCCAGGTGTATCCAGTATATTAAACAGATGAGATTTACCATGAGAACTGTGCAATACAAGGCTCATGGGAGCCGCTTTAACCGAAATTCCTCTTTCCTGCTCTAGAATGTGATTATCAGTGTACCGCAGATTCTCATCCTTCTTTCTCCCAGTTTTTTTGTCTAGTTTTCCTGTGATGTCGTGTGTCTCTAAAACTAACATATCCATTAGTGTAGTTTTTCCATGATGCAAATGTCCTGCAAATGCAATATTTCTAGTTTGGTCCGGGAAACACATTAAGTCCATAAGAAACTTTCGCTCAAAGAAAACAGGTGGGAGATCGGCCTCCTGAATGGTAAATTTCTTGCGCTCCACTGGGGCGATGATGGGTTGAGTTAAGGGTTGGGCGTCTTCTTCTTGTACCATGGTCTCAGTGTTCTCACCATAAACCTGCTGCGCTGTAGGATAGTACTGTTTATCTTCGTGTAGAATGACGGCATTTGATGGTCCATCATCTATTACTGCTTTAGCACTATTAATCATCTTTAGAGAAAGCTATCCGACCATCGATTTCCATCAGTTCCTGGCCAGCCACCTCGGCTTCCTCGTCTCCTTCGCTTTCGGCATACTCATATGCAATGGCGCCAACTTCATTTTTCTCATCATCTTCTGATTCAATGGCCTCGCCGATAAAGTTGCCAAACCTACGTATAGATAAGCAATTGTTCCAACTTTTTGATACCACTAGGCAGAAGCTTTACTCATCATATTGATCATCCATTTTTGAATGACCCAGCAAGATCGACTCGGATTTCTTCTTAAAGCGTGTCTAACGACCAATGCGATGCAAGAGCTTTTACCGTAGTTATTGAAGCAGAAGGTGTGAAGAAGAGAAGAATTCTGGTGATATGTTTTAAATTGTGGGAAGTATTTCATAAGCTTATACAATTCTAGCAGATAACTTTCTCAAAGAAGCTGGAATAGTCATCCATCTTCATTTGTGCTCACTAAGACTGTAGATTGATTCTATAAATTTTTCCCTCGTGACTATTAGTAATATCATGTACCCTTCACAAGGCTGAATCACAATCGCTGGGGGTTTCATAGCTTGCTAATCTTTGATGAATTTTACATGGAATCGCATACTCGACACCAAACATGTCCAATATCTGTCGTATGCCTTAGATGACTTCAAATATTAATACTCTAGAATCACTCGAACATACTACTGTGAGGTTTTTTTTGTTTACACAAATCAATCGGCCCTCGACTTTTAGTACCCGCAAACGCGACGTTCAACGACCTTTGGTTGATAAAGCGTGATATTATGATCTTGTACATAAATACACAAGTATGTGTAAGATTATTAAGATCCTTAGCTTAGCTTTGAGCCCACCATACGCACAAGCCTGATGTTCACGGTGAGGACCATATCTGCATCACGTAAAACTCGAAATCATCGCGTGAAATACAATAAAACTAGTTCCAGGTTAAATTAGAAACAACAACAATAACTGTCTTTTCAACTGTTACTCCGAGTAAAGCATGTAAAAATTTAATCAATTTACTGTCTTTTTGAGCGACGCTTCTCGACCCTATGTGGGGCGTCCTTTATCATCACTTATCAGTGGTGTCCCCTACGAACCTCCAGCTATCATTTTACTGTCTACAGGGCGAGGTTGAGTACCAACTTACCAACTTTATGCTTAGTTATATCCTCCTCCCTCAACGATACGCTTCCGAAAATACTCAAGACGACTGAGACAACAATGATGCTGGGAATATGGAAAGACATTATGGTACTAATCGCTATAATAGTAGTTAGAGAAGCTCTCGTCATATCGCAACATGTGCTACCACTTGGCAGGCAAACAAAAAGCCCTCAAAAGCAAAGTAAAACACCCTTCCGCCCTCAACAAAAGTAGATTTAGGCTTGTCAATAATATCGTCCCTTCTAACATTAAATCCGAATCTATTAGCTAGGACTGCATCTGAAATACACGACTTACTCATCGACCCCTCGTCCATAATGACTTTTGGATGCTAGGCTAGGCTCTTTCTCGACAGTCACTCTGGACCAAGACTTTTCTGACATCCTCTCGCGACCTTCGGTTTGTCCTGTGGTATGAATCAGGGGTGGATCAAGGAGGAGGCTAGAAAAGTTGAGAGACGTTCTTAGGTATATACAGGTCTGCTGCGCCCGGCTGGCCGGCCTCCTCGTCATATTAGAGCCTCGCACCCAGTTGTTTTTTGAGATTTTCCCCTGCAGCTACACACCCGCCAATGAAGACAGAAATCAACCAACTAATTAATCACAGCTTACTTCTCAAGAATTCTCTATGAATCACAATGTACATAAAATGATGGAATAAGGAGGTGTCAGTGTTGCTAAGGGAATAATTGTACATAGTGTCATAGCTAGTTAGGCTACATACACTTAATGAAAAACATCCCCCCCCCGCCAATGGCCATCGCTACCTTAGCTGGAGAAGAGAGATAACGACAATATAACGGCACCTCTTAGTGTGTAAATCAAATGAAGGCCTGTTGGATTTGGATTTGAATTTGAAATCTTTTACGTGACAGGAAGAACCTAACATCTATTTAGACGTGACACGGATAGATGGGCTCTGAAAGCTCATTGCTACCTACATGACCGGCAGTGGAGCCAGAAGCGACAAAAGAAAAGAGTGAAAAAAAAAGACCAGTATGTGTCTGAGTTACGGTGCCCTGCGCCGCATCCCTATCTTCCACACCCATCTACTCTCGGGTCAGAAACAATCTCAGCGTGGTCACCTCCCACCCTGTTCATTCTTCGGCAGACTGTAAGAAGGCCTGTTGGGGTTATTATTATTTCATTTTATTGTCTTGTCTGTATCTATGACTATTTAAGACACGCAGGTCCTCTCTGCCTACAGGCCAAGGATACCTATACCAGTAGTATATCCCCTCCTATGCCTCATATAGCTCCCCTCGTACAGTATCACCCCTCGCAAGTCCTCATTCGATCATACACTTAGAGAAGCCCTTTCCCCTTAATCATCTCCCCTCTCCAGCCAACGAAACGATGGCCATCTGCGGGTGTATGGCAGCCGAGAAAATCGCAAAAACTAATGAATGCGGGGCGACCTGTGGGGGTATCACTGCTAGAAAGAAGTCGTGAAGGAAGCATAAGAGGGAGTACACTATCCGAGGCTTAGATACTCCCAACCTTTGGTCAGAAAAGACCTACATGTCCTTACATAGTCATTGTCACAATTTGGCAAACACTCAGCAGTCCCCTGATTAGATAACGTGAACCCCCTGGTGAACTAGTAATGGGAATCCCACCAATCCGAATGAAAGAGAAAAAATATATATTTAAATAGTCTGTCCTACATAGATGTGAACCTACGTAGGGCATAGAATTAATTATTAATTATAAGGTGATCGCTAGGATAATATTTTTTTGCGCCAGTTTTCAAATTTTGTGAACCCTGACTAAGAAACATTGATTATTTTGTTGCGCTTCCTGCGCACAAGTAACCTAGCATTTATTATTTCACTATTTCGTTAATTTACAGGAGAAGATATATACATAAGATGTGACTCGGAAATCCAAACAAACCGTGATTTTTCTATCCAGTGAAATCTGCCATATCAAATAAAGACTTTGGTAGGTTAGCGGCCCTCCCTCATGTTTCACCGTAAAACGTGATATTTTGATTCAATTAATTATGTATTATATTATACTGATATGGGGTTGGGCGCCTCCATTTCAACTTTTTTTTTTGCTCGATGTCAACTGTCTTACACCAATGAGCCGTGCCAAGCGAAATAAGTGATGTTCTTAAAAAACCCACAGAGCTGACAGCCGAAGAAGCGGGGGTTCGGTCTGCATTAGAGAGTCTATTTTTTTGAGGTATATGTATTTTCAGTCCATCATATCTCGCATACATCAATTATTTTAACAGTTCAAATATTTCGAAAATGTCCGCCTCAGTGTATATTGTATCTGCGATTAGAACACCCATAGGTTCTTTTCTCGGGTAAGTTGCCGATATCACTTTTATAAAGGGCGTGTGCCTGATGTGGTAGATCTCTCTCGAGTCTAAGTGCTACCCAATTGGGAGGGATTGCAATTAAAGGTATATTGAGATGTCATTTGTTTGCGAAATAAACTGACGACCTTTTAGCCGCTGTGGAGGCTGTTCCAGAAATCAACCCTGAAGACGTCGAAGAAGTATTTTTTGGAAATGTTCTGTCGGCAAAGTATGTCGAATAGCTATCCCCAGGGATAAACTTACTGATCACTGAAGTCTTGGTCAAAATCCTTCCCGCCAGTGTGCTATAGCAGGTGGTTTATCTGAATCGACTGTTTGTACTACTGTAAACAAAGTTTGCGCTTCTGGACTAAAAGCCATTATACTAGGAGCCCAGACAATTTTAACCGGGAACGCTGAAATTGTAGTGGCAGGTGGAACAGAATCAATGTCAAACGTACCCCATTATCTTCCAACCCTTCGACAAGGTACAAAATATGGTGATCAAACCTTAGTTGATGGAGTATTAAAAGACGGCCTCACTGATGCTTATGCACGGAAAGATCACATGGGGATATTCGGAGAGGAGTGTGCTGCAGAGTATCACATAACTAGAGAGGAGCAAGATGAGTATGCTATTAAGTCATATCAGAAAGCCCAAAGGGCAACTGAAGTAGGAAATTTCAAGTCTGAAATTGTTTCAGTCGAAGTAAGTGGAGGGAGAGGTAAGCCGAACAGAATTATTGAAAAAGATGATGAGGTTGGGAATTTAAACGTGGAAAAACTCAAGGCTGTGCGGCCTGCTTTCCTACAAAGTTCAGGAACTATTACAGCACCCAATGCAGCACCAATCAATGACGGTGCATGTGCTTTGGTTCTCGTCTCAGAGCTAAAGCTGAAAGAATTAGGGCTGAAGGCTTTGGCTAGAATCCGAGGATGGGGCGATGCTGCTCATGCCCCCAATAAATTCACGACGGCTCCAGCGCTTGCTATTCCAAAGGCACTCAAGCATGCAAAAATTAATGCTTCCCAAGTTGACTACTACGAAATTAACGAGGCGTTTTCGGTAGTGGCTTTGGCAAATATAAAGCTTCTTGAACTTGATCCATCTCGGGTAAACATACACGGAGGTGCTGTTGCTATCGGCCATCCACTGGGTTGTTCAGGAGCACGGATTGTAACGACTCTAATAAATGTGTTGCGGGAGCAGAAGTCTAAGATAGGCGTCGCCGGTATATGTAATGGCGGTGGTGGTGCATCTGCAATAGTCATTGAGTCGTTAACTTAATGTTTTGCCATTACGGCAGTCTTGACACGTCTGAATAAAATGACTAGCTGACGCGTCGATATTCAATATGGCACTTTCATGCCAAATATTCCCTGACTTGTTGAGTACGATCTAAATTTTGAGTGACTCTCTATAGATGTCATTTACTTTTCTTAAGATAAGATTTTTTATTATATAGCAAATGCCAGCTGCTTGAGAAAGTTCATGGACTTCCATCATTTTAAATACAGCTATTATACTTTCTGTCAATTGGCCAAATTTACGTACATGCAAGGTTAGTTCAATGCAAAACGAAAGGTACAAAAGTGAGGTATGTGTTGTGAGTTGTGACTCTGTCTTAGAACATTATGAGTGTAGAGTTCGTTGTATTAGCTGAGTCGTCAAGATAATGACTCAGCAACAGAGGGGTGCGACGCATTTCGAGCATACCAAGTAGAAATACTCTCCAACACTTTCTAATTATGTGACCATGTGGGACTTGTAATTGCGTTCTACAGACCGGCCTGGGATATCTATGTCTCCTTTACACCTTCCTTAGAATAGTACCATCCCCCAAAACTGTTCATTTGATAACATTCTCTGAAGTCCTTTTTGTGAGTTCGACATTTCTCCCCACCAACCGAGAAGAAGGAGGCTATTTGTGGATGTGCGGCAGTCGGAGAAGCTCATAAAAATTACAGGACGTGGGACTACCCCAGGATTATCATCAGGACCAGGTCCGAAGGTTCGAGCTTTCTCTGGGCGATAATTAAAGAAGCAGGTAAAAAGATCCGAAGAAGCAGGTGGGTACATATTTTGAACAAACACAAGCCCATAGCGGGGGGGAAGGCGAAACTCAACACCTCTCTGAAGTTTTACCTACGGGCCTCTAGCTCTCACGGTAGAGCCCACATAGTCAAGATTGTCTGACAACTTTGTCCTCAGCTCTGGCGGGACACTCCATCTCTTACGCAGTTTGAATCATCTTCATCACTCTGCACAACCCCCTGTTAAAATTATTATGAAGCTGACTACAGTCTAATCAGGGTGGGCAAGGCGCAGGGCTTTTTTTGTCTAGGCAATTTTCTTTATTTCTTCATTTCATGTAATCAATCGGTCTAGAAAACTGGACAGATAGGTAGTAGTGAGGCTTTAGGGATCACACACCCGTATCATACCTCTTGGGTGTAGGGCTTTTGCCCGATACGAAATTTACACATACATACATACATACACAGTCTAATCAGTGGGGGGGAGGTACTGGACGCTAAGATAGTCGGAGTAAGGAAGGCTCTAAAGGCGGCATTGCGAATAAGTGGACTGGAATCTCGGACCCCAGGAAAAGTGGCGCAACCTATCTACGTGCTGACCGACAGTCAGCATGCAAGAACCGCTATGCTGTCCGGAGACACATCGACAAGCATTAAAGAAGCCCGAATATCTCGGACAATGACACAGGCTGCTCCCGAAAGAATCATCGTAAAATGGGTTCCAGGACACAAGGGCATTCAAGGGAACGAAGAAGCAGAGGCTGCAGCTCGGAGCAAACTCCGCAGTCTCCCCCTCCGAGATGAGGAGCCGCAAAATATCAGCAGTGCATACCTCTACCGGCTTATGAATCAGAAGAGATAGATGCTGCTAGACCAATTCTGGGACGAATCATGCCCACCCAGATACCGCGAACTAGACTTGATGATGCGCCGGAAAAAGCCATCGGAACTATCACTTTCACGACGACTTCTATTTGAAGTCATCGCGGCTCGTACCGGTCACGGAAATTTCGCCGCGTACCACAGACGTTTCAACAACCCAAACGCGAACATAAAGTGTTCGTGCGGAGAGGAGACTACAGCAACGCATTTCATGCACTGCAGACTTTACACTCGTCATAACCGACGACTAAGGGGATTAGATTAGATTAGATTTTTATTATAGTCCTATCTGAGTCTACGACTATAGAGGACTTCTAACTTCTAAATGAAAGATACAAACAAATTTCAATAAATTCAACCATTTTAATTCCCAATATTTTCTTATAGATGGTGAGGAACAAGTCCTGTAACGACTAAGGGGAACTACCCCATACCAAAAATTTCTTAAAATTCTTCTAGGGCCCAAATGCCTCAAAGAACTTTCAAGTTTGCGCAGGAAACTGGCTGCTTCAAAAGCCAACCTGCGACCTTGTCCACGGCTCTCAGTATGGACGAAGAATAATATTTATGGTGGAAACCGTGAAAGGGAAGGAGTCAGGGTGAGGAGCGCTGATACTGGACCGTTAAATTGGAATTTCCTTTGTTTATTAATTTTGACTGTTAGAATTTGTTTTTGTTTTAAACCGGCTACAATTTAGGTAGTGGTTTCACGCGGTTGGAATGAGTTGGGCTGTGGTAAAGAACACAGGGATCCCTTCCGGCTCCACCGGTCTTGTACCCATAGCGGACCAGGAGCAATAGCTTAGGACCTTAAAATTACAAACAAACAGTCTAATCAGATGACCAAATGGTAAGTTTGAATCCCTACACACCACCCACACTTCATCATGTTCCCGCGAACTAAAGAGCCGTAAATAAATAAATTATTCAACTTTCCCGATTTCGCGCCTTGAGGTCCATGCAGGTTTTATCAGAAGATATTTACTTTAAATAGGATAACCCATTTGACGTTTAGAACACTCACACTCAGATTTCATTTGCAGATACCACTCGAGGTTAACCCTTACGACGTAGAACCTCTTCCGTGCATATCCACTACAGGAAAAAGCGTGAAAAACCTATGGTTATCCGAGTGTGCTTTCATCATCCTACAAGTTCATTACCACCGCGAGAGAGAGTGGTGTGTGGGTCTTGCTGGATTTGAACCAGCTTTCTCCTGTCTCGAATGGGGTTGATGTTCAAGCTACCCAGAATCTACATGAGAGAATGGCCCGAATGGTGTACCACTGCACCATCCAACCTACGAAAGAGCCTTAGTCACTACGCTCTTGGTCATCTCCTTGCAGCTCGTGCAGGCCACAGGATCTTTGCTGAATACCACCGCCACTTTAACCACTCGGACACTCTTCTGGCCTGCGCTTGAGGCCAGGAAAAAGCCCTGATCAGTTCTTCTTTTTAAACGGCTCGCTTGAAGGCGAGCGGGTTTCCTTGTTGGAACTTAACATAAAACACCGGGAATTCCCTAGATTCTAGACTCTCTTGAAGGGGCAATCGTCTTCAGTAAATGGCTTCATGATACAAGCTTCGTCGAAGAAATTCAAGGTCAACACTAATGTAGTCTATTTGACTAATACATATAGGTTATATAACCAGGCAATTGGTGTAGGTGATAAATAATTTTTCCTGTAAATAGTTATTCATCCTCTGTAACTTTCTGAAAACCAAAAGTCTCAGTGTAAGAGCACTTTTGACCTCCTTTAATAGTTTGGGGATAGGCTAATTAGCCAGGAGGACTTCAATTGTCGATGAGTCAACGGCACTTACCGGCGCTCTGGACGGCACAAAAGAAGTTAGGCTAAGCTACCGTACAGCAATCACGCTCTGTCAAGACTTTTCTGACAATTCAGTACGATCTTCGGGAAAGAGTTAGAAGGAGGCTTGAAATGCAAATTGTGAATTTCTCAAGACACCCGCAAGTCTGCAGAGCCCAGCTGGCTGGCCGCGTTGAACGCTTCAGACGGGTCATTATATCTTCGGATTCAGTACTTATTTGGGTAGTAGAAGAGCCCCGCACTCAGTAGTTTTTGCAAAATTGCCTAGCTGCTGTACACCTATAAGTGGCCTTCGTTTCGTTGGCTGGAGAGGGGAGATAATGAAGGGGAAAGGGCTCCTCTAAGTGTATGATTGAATGAGGACTTATGAGGCTGGTACTGTTTGAGGGGAGCTGCATGCTCAAATTGACATAGCGGCGAGATTTCATGCCTATTTCGTCGGTAGCGCTTCGCAACAGGTGGGGTTATTGGTGCACTTGGTCGAGGTATAGACAGATTATAAGGCCGATACTTAGACCTTACCCTCATAACGCACAATAGTTACCACAAAATAAACCTTCACCTGTAATTAGGATTTCAATTATGACTTTAAGATTTTAGGGTGCTTCCGTAGGTCGCAAGCTTAATTTGTCCGGGAAAGGTCTATCAGGAAAATTATATGTAGTGAAGAATGTTAGCAGTTTTAACACGCGCGTCCGACTGGTTTGAGCCTGTCTGAGGTTCGTATCTGGGGTGTAGATTATTATTATTATTATTATTAATTCATTTTATTGTCCTGTCTGAGTCTATGACTATGTAGGACATGCAGGTCCTCTCTGCCTACAGGCCAAGGATACCTATACCAGTAGTATATCCCCTCCTATGCCTCCCATACAGCTCCCCTCAAACAGTACCACCCCTCACAAGTCCTCATTCGATCATACACTAAGAGGAGCCCTTTGCCCTTCATTATCTCCCCTCTCCAGCCAACGAAACGATGGCCATTTGCGGGTGTATGGCAGCCGGGAAAATTCGCAAAAACCACTGGGTGCGGGGCTCTTCTAATACCGACATTAGGAATAAATCCGAAGACATGTTGCCCCTTCTGAAGCGTTCGAAGAGGCCGGCCAGCTGGGCGCTGCAGACTTGTGTGTACCTCGGGAAATTCACCCTCTGCCTTTCTAGCCTCCTTCCAACTCCTTCCCGAAGGTCGTGCTGAAATGTCAGAAAAGTCTTGACAGAGCGTGATTGCTGTATAGTAGCTTAGCCTAACTTCTTTTGTACCGTCCAGGGCGCTGGGGAGTGCCGTTGACTCATCGACAAAAGAAGCCCTCCTGGCTAATTAGCCGAAATCTTGGTCTTGGCGCCCACAAAAAATCCAAAGTTGGAAACTCCTCGAAAATGTCAGTCCCAACACAGTCTTCAGAGTCTTCTTTCTCCTCTCGCTCCACATCTCAGCTGCCTGTTCTTCCTCAAGATGTATAACCCCATTAGAGCAGCAGTCCCCCATAAACCAAGACCCCAACTTTGTATTTTTCGACTTGATTTCCTCCTTGCGGGTATAAATAGCGTCGTAAATATGTAGAGAGTGATGGCCGGTAATGAATGAGGCAAGCTCCTGTTTGCAGTTAGGGTGACGCCTCTATCGGTCGGCGAGGCGAGTTGATATGTGCTTAGATCGGGGTTGAGGACTCAGAAGATAATGATGAGTGCTGCATGGTTGAGAAGTCGTCAAATGGAGATATACATGTGTTTGCTTTCGACTTCGATTCGGATGCGATTCTTCTTGGCTATCCCAGATATGCAGAGCATACTGAGCGATTACACCGGCACCACTGGAAGGTGAAGAATTCGTCTTTGCCGGCTGGGGTGTAGATTATTGGTTTCATTTGGTTAGCGCAGTCGGGAATTATCTGCAGGTCGCATTTTCGACCAAAGGCTTGCCAACACCACTCCTCCCCATCGCCTTTTCGACGAAAACCCCCGAATCCAACCTTGGTCGTGACTAAATTTCGGCCCAGGGACAATCATTAATTCCCAGGTTTGTAGAGAATACCGATGAAAAGTGCTCACTCCCCGTCCATCAATGGAGGCTGCCATCGGCCCGAGAAGTATGAAAGGCCTAAGGCATTAAGTCATAATCAGTTGTGTGGTGACACATAATTAGCCTCCACGTCGGGTCAGATACAGAATTCAGTAAAGTTTTAGCCAATAATTTTTGATACTGGGAGACTTTGGAAAATATAATGTTCATAGCCCATATTGCAGTCCTTGCGTCTCGTGAGGTTCGCACTTACGGACCCTTCTTATTTCTTCATATATCACGTGACCCTGACACAGTGTCACCGTAAGGCCTGAACGTATATTGACGCACCACTTCATATAATCTCAACTTGCCCTATGATACCGCGGGCAGTGCACTCTAACAAAAATTTTGACCCCGTCATGCTCTTGTCTTCTGTTCGAAGATTAGTACTCGTAGTACCACCCGCACCTGTATCTTCGACACTTGTTACCAACACATCGAGATCAGTGACATCCAATGTCGTCACCTCACGATGCCACCAAAGGCGAGCTTCATCCTCAAAGCCTTCTAGTCCTTCAAATGGATCCAAAGGTGTGATAGAAAGCCGTTCAGTATCCTCGACTGCAGCGGAATCATCCAGCAGTCAAAAAGAACTCTCCCACAAAGATCTAGATACAAAGACTACAACTTCCGGCAACACTAAGAGCAAAATTAAGAGGTCACTATCAAAGACTGCACTCAAAAACAAGAACCAACCCTTGTTGAATCTTCCTAGTGTACCCAGCACACAGCATATAACGCCCAGTTGTGAGACCCACAAAATAACTCGTAAACTCTGATTGCTAATTATTATCAAGTGCTTGGAACAGCAGCGTTTTTCTCTCTGCATAGACCCATATCTATTACAAATGGTTTCCCTCATCCAGTCTCAGATGAGGCATTTGCCTCGATCTTTAGACCTAGGATAAAAAGCACAAAGTCTCAAGAAATTCTGATGACTCTGACGAACACTTTGGACAATTTCGACGCAGTATCAGAAGCATTAGATATTCTCCACCTGGACTCGGAACAAAAAAACTTGGGTGAGGCTGATGGGGACTTATCGGGAGATTTCAATGGATCTGCATTGACGACGAGCAACCAACGCGTGCAAGGGAACCAAAATCACGATCAATCACTAAATTTTTTATCGGGAAAGTACGCACCATTTAATCCCCCACCAGCGCCGTTGCCTATCGATTCAACGGAGCCGTATGCTTCCATCGTAGGGACTACAGAATCCCGAAGCAACCAGAACAGAATCTTCACAGCAATTCTAACTGTAGAAGAATCCATGGATCCCAACGGGAATGTTACATTTATAGCTCATCATTCTCCCCTTATAGCTGAAGATGCTCCCAATAGCAATCGTTTTTCTAGTAGGATGCAGATACGTCAGCAGCGTCATAGATCAAAAGTGGGTAAAATGCGTGGAATGCTAGCGATCAGCGTAAAGAGACAGCGGAAATTGAAAATGAAAAAGCACAAATACAAAAAACTTATGCGACGTACTCGGAATCTTAGACGCAAGCTTGATCGCAACTAAGAAATATGAACAAGAAAGAAGTCAGATGAACCATAAATTTCTAGATTTGTGCCTAAACATCCTGCGTGAGCCGGGCGGCTCATGTAGTATAATTTACCCTCAAACCATTCATGCTATCTCGCTGCAGCCGGCTTTGAAGACGAGAACGGCAAACTGTTCGATTTTCGTGGGTAGGGGAACATAAGGAGGATACCCCCGTGGATACTCATGAAGAGCTGCTTATCGCTCGAAATTGGGGTTTAAAACGAAGAAAGGTATAAATTCACATGCTAGCGCAGTCATCACATAGAATAAGTGTTGTATCGATTTTCTGCAGCCGAACTACTTAAGACTTCATGCTTTATCCTCGGGCCTTCATGTATATGTTTCGAACCATAGACGTATTTAATTTATGACAATAAGTTTAACTCAAGCTGAGGTAAGATCAATAAATTTCAGTCAGTTAACTTCTAAAAGCCTGTTTCGTTAAGCTCGTTGACGCCTTCTCTCTTCGACCCATATCCCTAGCTCCCTCCAAATACTTTCCTTTTCCTCAGGTTTCAGAGAGGCCGCTAGACCGCTCGTACTACAGGCAACAAAGACCCTCGCACCACTCCAGCTTGTATTATCATCGTTTACTCCACCCAACCGTTCGGTTTCATCCTGCCAGCCATACTTGAATTCAATCTTACTTATAGATTTGCCGTGCCTACACCTCCAAATGCTTTCCCATATGCTTTTCCCCACAATACAGACAGATTCTGGTCTGAATTTTATGATCTTAGTCACAAGTCCACTGTAGCCGGCGTCTAACTCTTTCCTCTTGAGTTCTGAGCTATTTCGGGTTGGTCGGGCGACAATGTTTGTATTCCCAAGATTAAACAGTTCTGGCAGATCAGCGTCTTCATTGGGATAACATCGTCTAGAGGTACAACCACTGCTGTATAAAAGTTTCCAGAAAAGGTTTGAGGGATGAGCGTAAGCATGACCAGAGATTGAAGTCTGCAACCCGGGGTTGAGACCGACAAATAAACATATCAAGTTCGGGGCCACAACATCTCTCAGTTCCGGGAGGTGGGAATACTTTTCAGGCGGGGCATACCTACTAACAGTACTACGCGTCCTCTTAGTGACTTTTGAGGTTGGGAGGCGAGAGTTAGTTCGTATATAACTTGCGATGGATCCAGAGGTTTGTACTATGTTTGTGGTTGCCCGGTCAACGATATGCGGCACTGGCGTCGAGCTGTGCGTGGAGAAGGCATAAGACGATAGATCTAGACGACCGGCAAAACTTGACAATGAATCCTTTTCTTCTTCTGATTCCCCAGTCTGTCTAGCAGACTCGTGTACCGAACGAATCAATACCATTTTGGTGACAGAAATGGGAAGAGATGTCTAATACTTCGTGATTCGGTGATACGCTCTAGACGTCTTCATGCATGCGTTGTTCTGTACATGAACAGCCCGCGGCTAAATATAACTGGGCAAACCTAAAGTTTAGTGCTGACTTATCTTCGTGCCGAACTCGTGAGGAGAAGGTGCAATAGAACCGCTGCACACCCGCTTATTAATTAGCTCCTAGCCGTTACACAAGGGTGATGGAATACGCAAACAGTCATCAACCTACAGCGATCGTCAATCACCATAGCTGTGACATGCCCAATCTTTCACTATTCACTTTCCATTATACTAACTCCATCACTTCGTTAAGCTTCCTCGCACGCCAGCTTTAGGCAGTGACAACTATGGAGAACATCAAAGAAACCTCAATTGAACCAGCTGCATCTGAGCTTCAAAAGCTCAAGGATAAATATACAGCGGCTGAACAGGAGCAAGTCTTTACCTTCTATGACACTCTCGACGTAACCGAAAAAGCGTCCCTGTTTTCTCAGCTCTCCAAGTTTGACCCAGATTATATTAATCAAATCACCAAGCGTGCCCTCGACTCAGTTAAAACGACTAATGACAGAGAGAAACTGGAACCTCTTCCATCTTCTGCTACCGCTAGTATTCTTGATTCAGATTCCAAAGATATAGATAAATGGCATGAGCAAGGATTAAACCTAATTGCAGAGAATAAGGTCGGGGTAGTCCTTATGGCAGGTGGGCAAGGCACACGACTGGGTAGCTCAGAGCCCAAGGGTTGCTTCAACATTGGATTGCCCTCCGAAAAATCATTATTCCAGTTACAGGGAGAAAGAATCTATAAATTACAACAATTGGCCAAGAAACGAGCGGCAAATGGTAAAGAAGTTGTCATTCCCTGGTATATAATGACATCAGGTCCCACCCGTGGGCCAACCGAGAAGTTCCTTAAGGAGCACGATTACTTCGGCCTCTCAAAAAGTAATGTAACTGTGTTTGAACAAGGCGTCTTACCTTGCATATCAAATGATGGCAAAATATTGCTTGAGGGCAAGGGCAAAGTAGCAGTAGCGCCAGATGGGAATGGAGGTATTTATCAAGCATTAGTCTCGTGCGAGATATTGGCTGATGTTAAAAAACGGGGAATTGAACATATACACGCCTACTGCGTAGATAACTGTTTGGTCAAAGTTGCGGACCCAGTATTCATTGGATTCTCATCGAGTAAAAACGCCGATATTGCGACGAAAGTCGTAAGGAAAAGAAACGCAACAGAGCCGGTTGGTCTTATAATGCTGAAGAACGGCAAGCCAGGTGTTGTTGAGTATTCTGAGATCGACCAAGAAATTGCAGTTGCCATGGATCCTATCCAACCTGGTATTCTAAAGTTTAGGGCTGGCAATATCGTCAATCATTATTATTCGACACGTTTCCTGAAGACAATTCCCCAATGGGCTCATAAGTTGCCACATCATATCGCTCGCAAGAAGATTCCATTCATAGATACTTTACAGGGTACTGTTGTAAAACCAGAGAAACCAAATGGAATCAAGCTTGAACAGTTTGTTTTTGACTGCTTTCCGATGCTAGATTTGTCCAGATTTGCATGTCTTGAGGTGAAACGGGAAGATGAGTTTTCACCCTTGAAAAATGCTAGGGGAACTGGGGAAGATGATCCCGATACGAGTAAGAAAGACATTATGGATCAGGGTAAAAGATGGGCCCAGGCAGCTGGAGCCTTGCTAAAAAGTGAAGCCGAGCAAGTCGGCCTTGAGATTTCCCCCCTTATCAGCTATGTGGGTAGCTCCCTGTTCAACCAAAGCCTACTGACGTGCATTAAATAGGGCGGAGAAGGACTCGCGGCTCTGCAAGGAAAGTCTATTTCAAGCTCTTTATTGGGTGAAAATCAAATTTAGAGATATCATTCTACACATTCTCAAGTCGGGGTATAGTATGGTCGACTAACATCAAATGGTAAGGCAAACAGGTCCGAGCGGGCCAAAGTATAGCTCCTATAACCCAAAAGTATATTACTAGCTAAGAATTTAGCCCTAAAATGCTTAAATATTGGCACAGAAGACATCATACATATTATTCCACGTTTACTCGTTTGTTCGTTTACTCATTAACGTTCTAGGTAACATGACATCCATTGCAATCCTCCTGGTGCTTGAGCACGAGTGGGGCAGGACCTGATCAGGTTAACTAATGCAAAGTACAAATGCCTCGTCCAACCTAAATGAACGGAATCATGCCGATACATATTAATGTGTTGAGTCATAACGAGTCCAGCAGCCCAGAATAAAAACAAAAAAAAGTTCCACTCGAATCCTCACATAAAAAAAAACATTAACCGTCTCCCTTCTATCCTTCTACCTCGGCCATCGCGTACCCAAGCCTCGTCACATAGATATCATTTATAATGAAATGCCCAATAGCTTCTATCTCATAAAATGCCTCGCATTGTCACCTCTACGCTACCTTGACTACCAACTCAAATATTCCACTACCCTGGACATACTTGAACAGCTTCCATACACTTGATCCAAGCATAGCTTCCAAAGCCGGCGCCCCACGTCTTCCGCTTTTCAGCCGCCAAATTCTCACATTGCCAATGCTTTTCTACACCGGACAGGGTGACCGAATGAGATTTCTCTACCGCACTCGCAGTGAAGTGTGGCTGTGGTGTAGTTGAAGCGGCGTTGATGTGCCACTAAGTCTTCATGTCTAGTTTGAACGGCGGTCAGGCGAGTCCAGAGTGCTCTCTGAAGTGCTGATTCTTGCGGCTTTTGAACTGCATGTCGAATTCGAGGTCGGCGTAGTATTTAGAACAGTTCGAGTGCCACCAGTCTTATAAATTTTCCCTGGCTAGTTCACGAGTTTCACGTCCAGATGAGGCCAGGGTAACTTGATCATACGTCGTCCTTGCGTGATCCTAAGGGTCAAGCTGTTACGGGCTGCGCCTTACATTCATGTATATGTGACTATGTCGAACAAAACATTATAAAATCTTAATAAAAAATTACCTTCGCTAAGATATTTAATCTGTATGCAATTGAAATATAAGATTAAAGCGTCACTGGCTACAGCCGAGTCATGCATATGTTATAATCAGCAATTAGATAGATGCCCACTTTCCTATGCATAACTCCGCTGGTATTCGCAATTTTTATTTTGTCATTACGGGGGAGTATTCTCAACACCTGTCAGTGGTATCCCCTATGAACCTCCAGCTCTCACTGTCGAGTCTGCAGAGCCAAGATTGAATAGCAAAGTCCTCACTTCGACGAGGATTCCCCTATCACCATTATCATGAAGCTAACCACGACCAAATCAGTTGCTAGGGTCGAAGCCCCTCTCATCATCAGCCTTGCGTATGGAGGAGAAGCCGTCCGATTAGTTTACGGAGCGTACCCAGCACCCCATACGAAGATAGTGGGTTGGATCAAGTCGGACTCGACTGTTACAAAGAAGGGAGATATAGATGAATATACGCACCTCATGTGATCCCGGTGTCTAGGCCTTGCCTGGCTGGGGCTGCAAGTTTTTGAGACTTTTTCTCGCACACGCAATTTCCATTGCTACCTTTTTTCTGAGTAGAAGGTTTGGTGGAAAAGGTGGCCGAATCCCACGGGTAAATACTGAGCTGAATGGCTATTCATCACGGGCAATATATCAATGATCTTTAAAGCAACAAAAGAGGCAAGGAGCACTGTACAAGGTGTGGCCTGGGTTAGAAAGGAGCCCAATGTGCTAGATAGTCTAAGATTCAAGTAGTACATTAAACATACCTCTCTATCGTCATTACAGTCGAGTCACTTAATCTCCTATTAACCCGCATCAATTATACTATGCCTGATTATACTTTCCACTTGTAATTTGTTATAAAGGGAACAAACATGACCAACTTCAGAACCATGTTAAGGAGGGAAATACGAGGTGTTTGCATAAATAATTGTAATTATTGATCCATATCTGAATATTGGGAGTAACTATGAGAATAATCTCAAGATATATTTAAGAACAAAGATATTATTCTCATAAAAGACAATCAATTCAGTCAACTCCGAAAGAGATCCAAATGAGTGTACCTTTGCCTAATAGTCTATCTTTGAACGAATCATCTATAGCCATTTACGGGATTATAAGTTATCAAACATCTGATAGCTTAGAACCCACTGAATAAGGTAATGAGAATCATTGAATACTGGGATGACACATCTCGGATTAACTTACTCGAGCTTTAATATCTCACCAGGGATAAGGAGATTAGGGTGTTCAGGATAGTCAAAGCTCTGACTTGAGATCTTCAACACATGTAATATATTTCATATGTAATTCTGGGAAACGAGAAGATAATCTCTCCTCGAAATAGTATCTGATGGGTATATAGCATCACTGCTGGAGAGGAGTTGAGGAGCAGAGTTTTCAACAATACAAGTTTACATTTTTCATTTGACCCTTAGTGTCTAACATAAGTGATGGCTGATCCAATGGATATTAACCTCCTTGGGTTCAGAGTTAAATTTATATATATCCATCAGCCTAGATACATATCATTTCCTTGGTAATGAGAAGATAGACTGTATTACGGCCAGCTTACTTTGTTCTTATTGTTTTGGTGACAGCCCATCACCTAAGATCACCTCGGGCGACCCGATCGGCCACTTCATTTCCTGCCAGCCCTGCGTGGCCCAGGATCCATCCTACCTTTATAGGTGCAGCTGCTCTTGCAGCTATTTTCCATAATTCTGAAACCAATAGAATGATGAAACTGTTATTCCTATCAGTAGCGACTTGGATGCCGTGGAATGGTCGAGCAGGCCGTAGATGGCGCTGTGATCTCGATCACGCTTTGTAGTTGTGATTGCCTCGAGAACAGCCAAAGCTCTATTAAGCTTCTTGTTGTAGACCTCAGCATATATAATTTTGCTTGAGCCACTTTCTTCCAGTACTATGCCGGTGTCAACGACCAAGGTTTGGAACCCTCTTGTGATGCCAATTGGAAGAGCCGAAGATTCGTCATCTAATACCCTGCTTCAGGTAGAATTACATATACCTGTGACGAGCTTCAAGAATTTTCCTTTAACACTTTCAATGGTTTTTAATCTGTTGGAAAAAATACTCCGTGCGATATTATATGGATATATGTAAAGTAAAGAAGACGTAATATTTTAAATCTATGGGAGAAATTCCCACTAGTCTCATGTGTCTGTCAAACCTAGTGATGACTAGCCACCTCTCATCTACCATGATAAGCAAAGGTACACTGTGGTACGTAAACAACCAAACGTATATGCGATGGTGGGCGCCATTAGCGCATTCCGAACATGTGTAGAGAGAGTCGATCTTGTCGAGAACCTGAGACGAACAGATAATGGTTGATTCCTATATTCGAGAGTCAGGATTTCCAACACAATCCTTTCTGGTAGTTTACCTGCCGGTCCAGCCACTGCCCATATTAGAGATCCGTAGGCGAGGGCTGGTCTCACTATAGTGCTGTACGAAAGATTGGACTTCTTGAACATACCAGCCCAAGTTGTTTGTGTTAATCTACTTATCGGCTGAGCTTGAGTTTGTGGCTTTATTAAAGTATACTTTATACGAGAGCTCCACTGAATCTTAAGATCGAAGTTGTCACGGTATTATTATAATTGGTATATGATTTGGGAATGTACATTTGCGCTGGAACAGGTAAGATAGTTTGTGGAGAGATATCTTCATTAATATGCAGAAGTGAGGTTACTATGGTAATAACCATGTTACAGTTGGAGGAAGCTCGTCCTTATCCCATAGCTTGTTCGCCTGTAGACCGATCACGTAATCAGTATGCAGCTCACCAAAGTGTGCAACCAACTGAGCAACTATGCCATGTGTCCTATATCAACAACTCATCTCTCATACTGCACAAAGTACTGCATGTAATGACGTTGTGTATTGATGATAAATTGGAACTAAGAAGTTTATCCCAGAGTGAAGAAATGTGATTGATTGATCTTTATGAAGTATTCCATCTCTCTTTAAATACAAGTCCTTCCGTCCTTCATCCGATCACCCACGTACAGACCATATAATCTCCCCATACTATTGTGCAAGCATAATGTGTCAAATAGTCCTAAGTGTGAGGTAATAACATGATTAGTTCCAATATCGCAAACAGCAACTGTCATGAGCGACTAATACTAGCACTAGTTTACGAGTCGTAGATAACACGAATATAGATAGTTACAGGAATACGACTCGTACATGATTACATGAGTACAAACAGTTACAGAATATTTCACGGATAACGTCAGGTAAAATGTTTAGAGCTCAGTATGTCTCACGTGAGATCTTGGCGCACTTAGCCCGAAGGGTTGTATGTACTTTCTTGTCAGGTTCACATCGCTTTGGATGCAGGTTGTAAGGATTCTTGAGAAATGCCTCAGGCAGGATTTATGGGTTCCTTGTTTAATCCCACTAGGCTTTATTGCTTAGCGAGGATAGTTATGTAGTTTTTGTTGAAATCTAGACATGCCAGACCGAACTGCACGCAGTGAGGAGTAGACGAAGACTACTTATCTTCGATCGCTACCAGCTTTGGTGAGGTCTCGCTTGGTAATGATCTCGGTGGTGTGAATGTTATTCCATCACGTAATCAGAACACAATGTTTCTACCTAAGCGAGGTAGAACATAGATAGACAATTAGATGTAGATTAAACATTAACACTTTTAACTACCGAAATATAAGTTCAGTAAAACCAAAACCTCACTGATCCTAACCTTTTATCTCTGATCCTTAAACCCCCAACATCTTACGATTCGTACAGTATTGACTTGACGGTCAACGTTCACTTCTATCATTCCAGATACCCCCTAGAACTTTAATAGTTTTCATTTTCGAGACTGAGATCTTCACGCTTTGTTTTCTGTCTT